GGGGGAGATCCTGGGAGGGAGAGAGGGAAGGAAGACAGGACAGGCAGGGGACGCACAGGGGGAGAAGCCACGAGAGCCTCTCGAAGGCATGGCCATGTCACACTAGTCACCGTGTTCCCAAACCTGCCCGGGGCACTGGCCCACAGGTGGCTGGCCACCCTCCACCTAGAGCTGCGACAAATGGGGGCACACCCCGATTCCTACACAAGCCGCTTTGCCCTGGTGGAGTTTTCTTCCTGCCAAGGAGAGACCATCAATCACCCCGCAGCCGTCAAGGTAGAGAAACCTGACTTAAGATTTCCCTGTTACTGTTGGCAGGACTCCGCCGTGCACCCCGGCCTCCTGAGCAGGGTGGGAGGTGCCGGGGCCCTGGGTGGGGAGCCGGCGGCTCCAGTCACAGTGACCTAGAGCCTCCCGGCACCCAGGCCTCGGAGGGGTCTCGGCTCAACCTGCCAGCACTCTTCCCTCCCGCCCAGACCCCCCACCTGGGCCCGCGCACGCTGGGCACGGATGCAGTTCTTAATGGCTGTGTAGGTACTTGCCCCTTGCCATGTCCCCCCAGAACGGAGGCCCCAGGGAGACCAGGTTTGTCTGGTCTGTGTCATCCCCAACATCCCGAACAAGGCCCAGGGCAGATAACAGGTTTCCAGTAAGTAACTGCTGGGTGGATGGATGGATGGATGGATGGATGGATGGACAAAGGGAGGGAGGGAGGGAGAATGGGTCAGGGCCTGTGGCTCTCAGCCCGGCCCAGGATGCAGCCACCCTAATCCCCGTCTAAAGGAGGCGGCGGTGCGGGGGGCGGAGCTGCAGCCACCCACAGTTACGGCCGCGCCTGCCTCTGGCTGTGTCCCTGCCCCTCCAGCTCAGCACAGGACAATGGCCTTGGCTTACCCGTTTCCATCCTGTCCCCGAGGTCAGGGACCCAGGGCTCCTGTTATGGACAGGAGGCCACAGATCTTGTCATTGGAGAGGCCAAATAGTCAGAACCAGGTCCCTTAAGGTGGAGTTACCATGGGAAAGCGAGTTCTCTAGGTTCTGAATTAGGACCCAAACACCTGTCCAGGGCTCCCTCCCTCCTTCCGTTTTCCCTTATTCCATCCATCCATTCATTGTCCATTTGTCCATCCATCCATCCATCCATCCATCCATCCATCCATCCACATAACCATCTACCCATCCATCCACCTACCCATCCACCCATCCACCCATCCATCCACCCATCCATCCATCCACCCATCCATCCACACACCCATCTACCCATCCACCCATCCACCCATCCATCCACCCATCCATCCATCCATCCATCCATCCATCCATCCATCCACACACCCATCTACCCATCCATCCACCCATCCATCCACCCATCCATCCACCCACCCATCCATCCACACACCCATCTACCCATCCGTCCACCCACCCATCCATCCACCCGTCCATCCATCCATCTACCCACCCACCCATCCACACACCCATCTAATACTCCCTGGCTACCGCCGTGGGCCAGGCCTTGCGTTCGTTGCTGGGCCATAAAATTAAAAGGGGGTGGGTGGAGGGTGGGCAGCACTCCATGCATAGAGCACGGGCGGGTCTGGGTACACGCGGGGCCGTGTTTGCCGGGCTGGCACCCAGCAGTGTCCAGCGAATAGTTCCTGAAAAAAGCAACTGAACGAGAGAGTCTTGGCACAGAAGCAACCCTCTCCCGGGGTGTCTTCAGATCAGCGAGGCAGCCGGGGTGGCTGGAGCGCGGCGAGGAGGGC